ATGCCCTATTTTTTTCAAAATCAAATCCAAAACTAAAAATCGGTAAGAGCGAGCTCATTTTTTTTTCCACCACAATTAATATTAACAAAATATTTCAATCAATACCTCAAACATTTCTTACAAAAATTCTAAGCCCGTCAAGCTTCTTAACACCCAGTTTGATATCATTTTTGTTACGACACTCTAAGAAACTATGTCCTATAGTGAGGTTTTTCACACAAAACTTTTTACTTCAAATGAAACTCATTTGTCATTAAGTGTGGTATCATTATTTTCACCAAATGGAACAAATTCTTTCTGTGTCGAGAAAACGGGTCTGATTTTTATCGTCTTTCAGACTAACTTACAGAAAAGAATGGACAAGAGACTGAACTCCGTATAGAATTCCGCTGCAACAGTTACACTTTGGCGACATTTTAGCTATAATTACCTAATTCTTGCAGCTGAGAAACAAACAAGACTGCTCATATCAATACAAACCCTGAATGCTCCATAAACTGGTATCGAATAGTTTTTGATAAATGAATTATTTAAAAAATATGAATTATAAGTCGTGCAGTCGTGTATAAAATTGATGATGAGCTTGCCTCAACTGATTTTGGGAAATTTTTGTGGTGTGGGATATTTTGCCACGCATAAAAGTATAAAAGTATCAATATAAATTTCAGCATCAAACTATCACAGCGCTTTTATAGTCACGTTAGTCTATTAGTGAGGGTTTCACAGATCTCTTTCAGCCAAGATAGGCTAATAATGAGCGCGCCACTTCTGGAAACTCGAATATCCGTGGATCGATCCCCCGAGAGAAATTTTGTTGACAATAGGTCTTAATAAAAAAGCCACCCCGAGCATATTAATTCTTTTTTTTCTGTAAAAGTCGGACTAATCAAATACCCTACCTTAGTCAGCTTTTTTCGACTTCCATGTCCCACATTTTAAATTTTTATTTCTTAATTTGTCTGAATGGCTGAATGTGTGATTTTTGGCTGAATGTGTGGCTGAATGTGTGGCTGAATGTGTGGCTGAATTATGGCTGAATGTGTGATTTTACAAGGTTAAAATTGTTTTTCAATACTGAAAGTCAAATGTGATGGGAGTAGAAAAAATTCTCAGTCTACAAAAATACACTTTTGACAAAAAAAAACAATTTATAACATTTTTTTTAATATCACGTTCTTTATTACTAACTGCGTTAAGCCTAATGTTAGGTTTGAAATTTTCTAGGCGACTTTATCAGCAATACGTCATCCTTGTTATTACAGAATCGCGCTTTTCTAAGTATAAGATGTATCGAGTAAAATCGAAAATGAATGTTAGAAAAGCAGAAAAAATCTGCAGCCGGTTGCTTTTTAGTTAAAACTTCCGAAACTTTAATTTGAGATTGTTGTTAGAAAATATTGACACTGTGGTTGGAAATAAGAGAAAAGCTTTGTGTGACGTTTTTGAACTTTTTATGCGATTTTTGAGGTATTGGTGAAATATTTTCAGCAGAGTGTTTATTGTGCATATTATATAAATGTTCTCTGATTTCATAAACACATTTCGGAAACATATCTAGGTTATATTCGATTATGACCGTCGGAATAAATATATGGAAACCTGAAACTACTTGTTGCCAAAGTATTTTCTTCGTGATACAAAACAAAAGCGCGACCGTTAGGCGATGGCTGGCCAAATTTAGTCCAGACTATCTTCTTTCAAACTCTTTTACAATATCAATGGCCGAATTCTAGAGCTCACATGAAATAAACAATCTTAGGGACTGGAAGGCGCGCGTCCGACGGGAGGGAAAAATATCTCCGACTTGGTTTTAGAATTTATCTTGCTACTAATTGCAAGCATTAGTTATCAATAATCTGCTGGCTGTGTGAAATTATTAACAAAGGCATTTCTAATTCCCTATTTTGATCAAAACTCTCTCAAATCTCCAACATGAAACGAGAGTTAATGCACGAAAACATCTTAAGATTTACCATAGAGTTTGGCTTGGATACAGTCGTCGTTTTTCTAAGTTTATACTTCTCTGAGCTTTAGTGCTTTCAGGTGTAAAAATATAAAATTTATGTTTATCAAGCGATGAAAATTGCAGCCAAAAGTGTTCAAAATTAATTTGATGATTTTGCAAGTGCGGTAAAATTTGCCAGATTGTGATTACAATTTCCAAAACAGAGATTACATTTAAAAAAAGCCGATGAAACTCGCGCTAAATCAATCAGGTGAGAACACCTGCTGAAGAAGGTGTGAAAACTGCGATGTTTGATTGAATTCGTCACAAAAACGAAACTCCACGTTAACTTCTAGATAGTAAATCACAACACGACGCCAATTTTGAATCGAAGCTTATTTTACCATCACATTGTTTTTATGCTGGTTAAGTTTTCTACACGTTCACCGACTTCGATCGTTTTAATTACAGGTTTTAAATTTATTTATAACCATTTTTTAGCAGTTTTAGCACTTTGCTCAAATATGCAGCATTCTAAACAAGGTTGAAAAAAAAAGTAATTGCCAAATTTTGACCTGACAATATGCATTTTCAGTTTTTTCAAACTAAGCTCATATGTTAATTTAGTTTAAAAAATCGAAACGATTTGCTCCTAAATAGAAACTATAAATCAAAGTCACATCTTTAATTTTTTACATTAATTCAGAAAAGTCCCATATAAATTGAGATCAAACAGAATTGATTCATAGCAGACTTCTTTGGGAAAATTGTTGAGAGCGGGGCCATAAAAGTTATGGTTATGAAAATTGAACAAATTATAAAAAGTCGGAGAATTAAATTAGGAGAAGAAGAAAGTTGATTTTGTTGAAATTGGACTTTGTTTGATTGGAAACACCTGGTGTTTAGAAAACTTGGAAAAGAAACAATTTTTCCTCAATCGGGGAACATTTAAGAATCTTTCCTGCATATCACGCCTGACAACATACGGAAAAAGTTAAACAATCAGCGGGAAAATGGAAGCCAAAATCTCCATTAGAGTAAAGAAGTTCCCATAATTCGATCATTAAGAAAATTATAAAAGGAAAACAAATGCTTGCATGAGCTGATACCAATCTGTGTTTCCTTATTATTATGTCACAACCCCCATGAAAATTGTACCACGTGAGCGTTGTTCCGATCACAAAATATCAAAAGTTGTTCAGCCCGGTAGTTCAGATTAGATCTCGACAGAGTTTAAAATTAACTTTGTTTTCAATTGAGGTTGGCTGAGCGCGAATCAATTTGAAGCCTGTCCGCCGATTTGACAACGCAGCGTTTTGATTGGAGTCTGGCAAAACATTTTGAACTCAGAAGCCATAAAACACGTCAAACCAGCGTATTGATTCAAAATACGAACAAACCATCTGAGAGTTTGGCCAGATGGAAATAACTTAATTTTTTTTTCAAATGGTGGAACCACACCCTGAAAATATAAAACGTGCTCAAAATTACTGAAAATTTTTGAACTGAAAAATTTGCACAGAAAATGTAAGAATTTGGACATTTTTTTTCGAATACTTTTTATTACGCTTGAACGACACAGCCTAACAAAAAGCATTCTCAGTCGCTAATCTAAAATAAACATTGCCATGATAAAATTGATCGTAATAACAAAACAATTCAGGGCACCGATTTGGGAAGGAACGACAAAGGAGTACTCTTCATAAGAACGAGCATCCAAAAATCGGCGATTAACTTTTATTTCGAAACAGAGTTATCTTACTTGATCAGTGAACATCAACTGCAGGTAGTCAATTTGGGCATCCACTCCTATTTCTCTCTGGTTGTGTTGGTAAATGATGCGTCCTGCGTTCACATCAGCCTGGGAGAATCGATTGTTGATCACCAAGTTACCGTCATTTTTGATCACTCCTGAAACACGGATTTCAAATATGCAATCAGCTGTGTATCGAATGATCGTTTTTTTTTCAACGAATTTTTGACTGAGTTAATGAAATGTGCAAGTATTATCTGAAACAGACCTAGAAGAAATTGTAAGACTCACCTTTTTCCGGGTATCGTACAATGAGGTACATGATTCGCTCCTCGGGAGTATCAACGTCCAGGACTTTCAAGTTGTAGTCCGAAATCACAATGTGACCACCCTCTATAATTCAAATTTCCACGTCAATGAAAAGATACTGTTTTGTCGTTTTACAAAATCTGGAAAACTTAATTAAATATTTTTTATAGTTGTTCAGTTATAACCGCAGTTTAACTCGTCAAAAGAACAGTGAGTTTTAGTTACAAGAACAGTGAAAAATAGTGCCTGCCTTTGACAATGAGGTCTGTGACTATCTCCAAGTGTTGCACAGGAGCATGGTCGCTGATGTGGAAGATGTTGATGGGCACCCAGTACTTGCGCATGTTGTTTGCTCCATCTCGCACTTCAAACGAGAACCTGTCGGTGAGACTGGAGGATCCATCGTGGTCATACCTGAACAAAATATACACGTTTTTAAACCAAGGAAGTCTTTTAGATTTTTTTAAATCAAACAACTAAACATAATTGATGAAATGTGATGTTTTTTTTTTCGTAATGAAAAATGTCACAATATGTTTAAAAAATATGCCCTTAACTCTTCGCCGCAAGACTTCTGGAGTACAAAAGAGACATTTTTTTGCCCAAGTGAGCCGACTATACAAAGTCAAGCAATTCAAAAAAGCATGACATGAAATTTTGTTTTTAATTTTTCGTGATTTTTGTCCATCCATGACTAGTAAGTGTTATCTTTCAATGCTTGTCTAACGTTTTATTCATGAATTGTGTACACAGAATTATTGATTCACGTGAGCTCTTTTAGGGCCAAGCGATAAGCCTATTTCAGTTTCAACTAGGTTGTTTGATTTCTATTTCTATCCAATGACCCTATATCGTCTCAAATAGATTAGTTGACTGCTTCAAAATTAATTCATTGCTCAAAGAATACGTTTGAAAACAGTTGCCACACAAGAATTTTGATACGTAACATTGATTGTTGTTCTAGCTCAAAACTTGTTCAAAGACAAGCGTTGATTAAAAACAAATCTACGTTTAATGGGTCTCAAACAATCAAACAATACTCAACCTACAGAAGTTTTATGACGGACGTTTCGGTGGTGCTTGCTCAAATTTGAGCTAACAACAGACCAAATACTTCTTTAGGGCGAAAGAGTAATGCCCGTTTGTTAGCTTTTCATTACGCACGGAGAGATAGAGTTGACTCTCTTAGTCTTTCCGATTTATATAGGCCAAATATAGCTGATCTTAAATTCGAATTTACGAGGAGGTGGTATGATGATCTTCATACAAGTCATAAAACCGTCCGGCGCCTAAAATCATTGATTTTATGAGGAAACCAACAAAAGAGTGCCTCATAAGTGTGCTAATTTTCACAGGCGTAGCCCAAATATTTCATAGACTAGTAATTTTTCCTAATATTTAGCCCAATTAAAACAGAAAAGAAGATGAATTAAAATGAATTGGTCGTCCACTTTAGCGCTAAGTTGATGTTTGAGTCTGATAACTAAAAAATTCAGAATTAGTTTTCTCGACACTGAGGGACCTTTTTTGGAATATCTTCCCCAAATCCAAATTAATATTGTAAGAATTGTTAAGAGTTCACACAAAAGCGAAGCTACGCTTCGCAAACACTTGCGAGAAGACGACCAAAAAACAGCTCTATCAAGTTAAAAAAGAAAAAGTAGAAATAATCCTCGAATTAGCAAAAACTCGGCTACATGTAGCCGATTCTGTTACTTACTGCAATCAATAGATTTTCAGTCTCACTCCCTTCAGCCACTCAAGCTTAACAACCGACAAACACTAGTCACGAACAAAGCAGCTACATATGCTAACAAATTGCCAATGCGATTCAGCACCAAAAACAAATAGACTCATTTTTGGAATTAATAATTTGGAAAATAACAAAATGAAGGCATCCACACTAACTTTGCATGTAACAAATGGCAAAGCATAAAGCCACATTATGCATTTGAAAAAATTGCGATATTTTTTGAGTTAGAAAATTTCTGAAATCTAGTTTTGATGTTGTTTAAAACAAATAGCTTTTTTTGGTTCATTTGATGAATTAAAAATGCATCAACTGTATTAATTTATTACTATTCGATTATCAAAGCACATGCTATCAAAAAGCTGTAAAGGAGCCCCACCATTATTATCAATATGTATCAATTAGTATCAATATTTGCGACTTAGGCTGGAAAAAAAGTAGGTTCGTACTAATACACTAGCTTCGCAAATGTAATAAAACAAAAACTCTAGGTCATAGTTGCTTCCCTGTGTTTGAGAAAGGGCGAAACACAAAATGACAAAAATAAATCATAAATCTGTAGGTCCGAAACTTTTTGCAATTTTTAACAAAAACATACAAACAAATAAATATTTCGCATAACTGTCTCACGAGCAATTTTAAGTACAAAAGGTTTTTTTTGCGTTTAGTGCCGCAGTATTTGAACCAAGAAAATGTTTTTTCAGCAAAAATAGTTAGCAAAACTCAAAAAATATATATAAATGGAAAAATGCTTGTCATATAATTTTAATTTATGAAAAAATGATTATTATAAGTAAATTTTGTAAATTTTTCTGCAGGTATAGAAATGTAAAAAATTGTGTGATAAGCTTTTTTCCAGAAAACTTTTAAATTGCTAAGAGGTTTTCGGTAATTGTTAATGAAAAAATTGTTTTCGAGAAGCTGCATAGCTCTTTTTGGAGAGAAACCTACAGTAATTGTTCGATCTTAAGCGTGAAATAGCATGTCAATATCATTTCAGTTTTGATAATTTTTGACCATTTCTTCCCGATTGAAAAGCAAATCAAAAAAAAATTTAGTTTAGCCTTTTATCCTCATGTTTGTCCTAATAAATAAATCCTTATAACAGCTTCGGTAGTTAAAACCCGACAAATGTTTCAACATGATAACGCATTCTACTTAAGCTAAAGGCATAAATTTAAAGCAAGTCTGCATGCCTGATGTTGGCTGACAATTGGTTTCCCTACACCATTCAATTTCAAATTGATTAAACAAAACTTTTAGATTCCTTAAAAGGGATTTAGCTTTATGCCGAAATTATCGTCGTTTTGCTATGAAAGTCACGCTTCATAGGCAAAAGGAGATAAACACAGAAGGAATTTTTGATGTTTTTCTAATTACGATACAAATTAATTGAACAAAGCTTGACTTGTTCGTTTGAATAAAGTAAACTCCTTGAATTTCTACGTTATACACCCGCTCTTGTTATAGATCACACGCTCTATGAGGTCTACTGCTTTTCATAAGCTCACAAATAACTATTTATAATCCAGCAAACACAATCCAGGTGAACTTGATTGGGTATCGGGTTAAGAAGTTTGCAAAGAGGACTGACTAGTTATAAGTTCCGGTTGGAAACCAGCTCTAATCTACTGTGTGGTCTAGAGCTAGTAAAACATCTGAGCCACTCAGGACAATTAGCCGCCCAAGTTAAGAGCTGGCCGGTTTGTTAACCAGATTATAAACTAATAGGGTTTTAGATTAATCCCTCAAAACCGCCGGTCAACTGGAATGGCACATGTCCAATAACGGTTTTGGCATTACGTCATACCTCAGCAAAAAGCCATGAGTCAACATCCCCAACATCTGAGTGTTGATAAATAAAAATAAAAAAAAACTAAGACTTTTAAGTGAGAGCGGACCGCAACATTATTTCAATACCGTTCGAATATGCGGCACTTTTCTCTATCATTTTTTGAAAAAAAAATAGCAGCAAAAAACATGGAAAAAAGTATTTTAAATTGAAAATCCAAAGTCCGACGACAAAATGCTTCGCCCTACCGATAGCGATTGGTTTTGGGTGGGAACAAAATTGCGAAAAATTATCCAACCTGAATTTCATCTTGGACAGGTAGGTGGCGTTGACCCACGTCTCTACATCCGCTGGTCTTCCGTCTACCATCAAGAGTCCATGTTGAGGCAAGTCGCTCATCCGCATCTGGACTCTGGCCATGTCGCTGTCCACGTCTGAGATACGGATGTCATTTTGGTCTATGATTCTGAAGGTGGAGTCCTCGACCTCCAGGGTCCGGATGATTGCCGAGGGAGGTCTGTCGTCGATGGCCACAAGAGAGATGTTGAGAGCGTTTGTTTTGAGTACAGTACGTGACATTTCACCAATGAGTGAGTCATCAACCTGAACACTGTAAATTGTAATCGAATAGAAATTACGAGAACAACAAAAAAAAAGTGACGGTCACAAAATCTTCAAAAATATATTGAACTTTTTTCAAGCAGCGATATTTTTACAAGCAGCAAAAATTTCATGAAAAGTGGGGCAAATAATTTATATTTGATTGCTGCGTACCGTTTACAAAATGAAAGATTACCTCATAAATCATATGCACTTCTCTGTTTTTCATTCCCAAGTCACTCTTAGGAGGAACAAACCACAACCTTCCCTTCTCAACATCCAGCTGTGTGAACGTATCAATGTCTCGGTAAGTCTTCCCTCTCACAGGCTCTGTATCGCTCAGGACCAACTGTCCTGCATCCTCAGGCTCAAAACTGTCGGCAAAGTGCAAAGCACTCAAGATTCGGAATATTATGTTTTCGGCTTTAGTGTCGGCGTCAGTGTATCCAAGAATATTAGAGGTTATAGCTTTCACTTGTGTTTCCAAAATGGTCACCCGGTGAGTTGCTGAAGTATCGGGTTGCGGTGGTCGGTCAAGGCTCGGTAAAACAGCGATGTCTAGTGACGACATAGGTGAAACATTTCCCACACAGTCTTCCACGATGAATCCAAGTGAATCGTCGGCAATTCGGTCATCACCGTGTCGGTAATATATCAACCCTTTCTCCAAATCACTTTGCAAGAACTCTTTAACCTGCTCTTCAGTTATATCAAACGGATACTTTTTCACAAGTTTACCATGCTTAGGAAGTGATATCACTTTAAAAAGCAAGATATCATTAGGACATTCAGAATCCTCCGCTATTAGGTTTTCAGTACTCAACGCGTTAGTCGACCATTGATTAACATTCAGCGAAACAACTCGCAGCATCTTCGGCGCCGAATCATCCACGGTTAGAATTTTGACTCTGAACATCACTCGGTTGCTATTGGCATTCTCGGAATCTTCAGTCGTATAATCAGTGAGCCACAAGGCTATTTCATCCTCAGTCGAGTCAGATCCATCATGCACGTATTTCAGTTTTCCTTCAGCGATGTCTGCAACTGAGAACATCTTGTTGGAGCGTCCGTTGATCAACAATGTTCCATGTCTTGGCGGTTCTCGCACTGTCACCGTCACATCTTTTATGTTATCACGGTCAACGATTTTTAGACTGTCCTCGGTTATATAAGCTTCCTGTCCTTCGACGACAATCAATTCTTGGTTCACAATTGTCCATGGACTCTTTGAAACATGTCTGGTCATCTGAATCTGGACAGACATAGGTTGACTGCTCATGTATTCCGAATCAAATACAGTCACTTCGAAAAGGTAGTCCTCTCCCTTGTGATCAACTTGGCGGCCTGGTGGGTAATAAATGATTTTGAAATCCTCCAAGTCTTTTTCCAGAAATGAATTGACAGGCACGTGCTTTTCGTTTTCTCGTTTCATAATTTGTCCATTTCCAGGTTGCAAAGGCTTGCTTATGTTGTATATCAGAAGTTCTTTTTTCGTTTCAGAGTCCTCAGCTGCAATGTTGTTTATAGTCAGACTTTTAAAAATCATATTGTTCACGCTTACAACTGGGTTGTTTGTGGTCTTAAACTTGGGTGCCGTGTTTTCTGAAGCTTCTGCAATCAATATAGGGATGAAAACGTGATCTCTTTGCATTCCCATGCCCGAACTCGAGTCGACCACTTCAATTTTGATAGGAACGTAATCCCATTTAGGCGATTTTGGTTGATAGTGTTCATAACGCAATCCTGCGCTGAGGAAATCGTTACAGGACTGATGAGTAGTTTCCACGTTTTCCGAAGAGCCAGCAGCGTTGGTGTAAACCAGTTTTCCATATTTGGGCCAGCTCTCCGAGGGCAAGTTTATCGACACCATACACGAGAGGAATTTTTTACCCATTGTTGAGGGGCTCAGTTTGAAACTCATAATTTCGGAGTTGAGAGTATTTGAGGTGCCTTTGATTTTATCCACGGTCAGGTTCTGTTTGAAGTTTGCAAACCTGAATGAGCTTTGGGATCCAATCACTCGGACTGGAAGGACAACTGTGGATACCTCTGGCTGGTGCATTTTGGCCTCTCGAGGCACCTGGTAGAGTCGGAGTCCCACTTGGTCCACTTGGAGGAGGGAGGGGGGAGCTCCATTGTGCGTGTAGACCACAGTCCCTTGTTTGAATTCACAGGGAAACGTCTGAGCAAAATGCAGCAAAGTTAGTAGATGTCATCAAAACATTTGTACTCGTGTGCATTTGATGAGATAGTTTCAATCTTAACCTAGTGCTGCCCGCATCCAGTTTCAAGCGTTAATAATCGATTATATTACGATTTTAGTACCAGTCTCACTAAAATTGAGAAACAATCGATTTTATTCAATTAATAATCGATTATAATCACTCTTTTTAAAATCAAATTATAATGAATTATAATCAATTATAATCGATTATAATCGATTTTTTATTCGTCTATTTTTCGATAAAATTATAATCGATTATAATTGATTATAATCCATTATTTTTATTCAAATTTTTATTTCAATAGTTTTGCACAAAAATCCATTATAATCGATTATAATTGATTATAATCCCTTTTGTTTGTCCGTTTTTGTCTTCGAAGTTGCATCTAAATTGCTTATATTTTATGCTTTTTGTGGACATTGGTTTCTATAAAAAATGAGAAAAATATTTTAAAAGTTTTCCAATTGATTCAAAATTATAAGTTTTTTTTTTCATTTCTTCCCCATTAGGGTTGTTTTGTGATGCATATTTTAAGCTTTTTTAAACACCAAAACATCAGCAAACTGATTCAGTCTCATGATTGATTCGGAAAATTTATTTTTCATATACCGCGAGAACCTTTCCCTTCATATGAAAGGATCTCTATGAAACTTTTGTTTCGTGGTAAAACTTTGTGTTCAGATGAACCAAAGTGTTCAAGAGATCTCTCTTTTAGAGATTTTCTTACTGACACAAAATTAATAACCCATAAAATATAATTCGAATATCGCAAAATTTCGGCAAAATGAGAGATTATAATCGATTATAATCGATTATAATTGATTTTAAGGGTTTTTAGTAAGAATTGTAATCAATTATAATCGATTATAAGAGATTATAATCGCTTGGAAAATATCACGATTATAATCAATTATAAATCTCTTAAGGACCTTATTTTGGTAATTATAATCGATTATAATTGTCAAAATATCATCATAATAATCCGTTATAATCGATTATTTACGCCTAAACTTGGATGCGGGTGCCTCCTTTATTCTTTAAAAAATTCTTGATGAAAAAGAACGGTTCGGACATCTTGGGTTTCATTGTATTTTCAGAATTTCAGTACTCAAAATATAAGATTTCTAATGAAAAATTATGCTATCTATTTGAAACTTTGATAAAGAATGCATATTCTATTTGTCTCAATCTCAATGTCTCAATTTTAGTTTCTGCTTAGGCCCAAATAATCGCAGCCTCTGATATTACTTCCCGTCGTTTTCCCTTCTGATTAACCTTTCATTCCATTCAATTGGTTTTAATTTATCAGTAGATTCCATTTCAACGTCCTCTTAGATTTAGCCAAGTAGTCTCCGATATTTTTAGGCCAATTTGTTTTCCTTTTATTTTAAAAACAGCTCAAAAATTTCAGTGGTCAGCAAAAAATTGAGTCTTTTGACGCCATTTGTCTGCTTAAGACCATTAAAATATCCTGTTGACCACTAAAATCTCACAAAAAAACTTGAAGCGTGAATTTAGAAAAAAATGTTAGAAAAAATATAATGCAGTTTTCAATCAATATTTAGATGCTGCTTCAATCAGCTCACAAATGCTGTTACCAAAAATAAAAGTTTCGTTTCATGCATTTGACTTTTTGAAAACATTGTTCACGTCAAGTTTTCATCTCGATTGAACTGTGCAGAAGCATATTTGCTGTTCGATGGTTGAACATACAGTCTGATCTTTTTGGCGACTTTTTGTGTACAATAAGAAGGGAAAACAATGGAAAAGGTACTAATTGACAGCGCGTGCGGCTTAATAAGCAGTGGCTATCCACTCTATTACTTATGGGTAAATAAACTTGGGCAAAATAGTACAAATAAGCAATTATTCTGAATGAACTCACTAATCTGGTAGTAATAACTACTCTCTAATTACAAGTTATCTTCAATCTACCTGTTCCATGTCATTGCGAACTTGACAGTGGGAATTTGTGCAATTTAATCAAATGCTCGAGTTTCCGGGGAAAAATAATCAATGGGTTTAATGAATGAGGTATTTTGTTGTTCATCGTATCCATCAATCATAGACAGCTATGACACATGCGATCATCTTCATCAAAAGGGTGTGGGCGGAACTTATGGAGTAGGCGGGGAGCTCATTTGAAAAATGGAATGTTTTCAAAACTCTTTCGGTATAGAGTTTAAAAACCATGAGCGTTTAACTGACTATTGAGGGTGGAGTATTCATTGTCAAATGTTCAAAAGCTGACCAAAAATAACACTTTTGGCTTATTACTTTAAATTTCAGACGTAGCGCGGATGGAAGATTTTTAAATAGTTCTCGAGGCTGAGAAATTGAGCCGGTTGGTAGATCTAAAGGTAGACCCGAAAAATAAAAACGTTCAAAACTTCTGAAATTTTCTTTGGAAATTACAGATCTCTCATAATATGTAACCATGTTTTTTTGAATCATTATCATTATCTCTGCGACTGCGACTATCGGTTTAGTTTTTCGTGATGACACATGTGATCAAAAATTTGACATGATTACTCTTTAAAAAGGCATACTTTTGCTGGCATTTCCAAAATAAGAGACTATATGGGAAAAGAAAACGTTAAGATGTATCGATGTATGATTGCGAGGCCGAACAGTGCGGGATAAGAGAATGGTATCAAAATCAGGCTCCAAAAGAGCAAATCAGAATCAGAACCGATGGTGAGAATGGGCTAAGAAGCAGTGACCTGACAACCAACGGTTTCATCCCATTTCACTTTTCGAAAATTAAAACAAGCTAGTCATGGGTCTTCTTTGAGTCAAAAATGCCGCCGACTAAATTATTTAAACTTTGAAATTTTAAAACTGACTGAGTCTTTAGTATTATCTTTGAACCTTAGCCCATGATCAATTTTTTCACAACTTCACAAATAATAGCACAAGGAACCGTCCTCGGTCGGCAAATCGCCCAATCTATGCCTTTTGGAGAATTGTAACGCACTAAATCACTAAATCTCGTCCGCCCCCCCCCCCCCACCCCCTCTCCATAGACTTCAAAATACCTTATGCTGATTGGCAACACTTACCGATGGAGTGAGCTGTCCGACCATCGAGTAGAGAGGATCATTCTGAATGACCTCTAGGATACAGTAGTCCTGGTCCTTCAGAGGCGACACGGGGATATCCGCGGACGGGAACAACTCCACTACTTGCCCGATTTTCACAGAGATCTCGGGCAGAATACGCGTAGATGAACAGGTTACATCAATCAAAATGGACGATAAAATTGTTATCGTGATTAACTTCGAAATTAACAAATGCATTTTTGCTTGAACGAAAATATAAAATAAGGTTGAATTTGTGCGACGTTTCAAAATTCTTTGTACTTTAATTATTTCTTTGCTTTGCGAAACGACTGGACTGATTTATGTGCAGCAGAATAATCTTCATCAAAGCTAGGAAACAGTGAAAGTTTTGCCTTAGAAAGCAAAATAAAATTGGTGAATTTGGTAAAATTATACTGTTTCGATGATAAATTTTAGTTCGGTTGAGAGTAACTGACTACAATTGAATTATAGATCAAGCAAAGGTAAATTTGGGTAATCTGCAAACCGATTTTTGGACCACCGACGAAAAGTGAAGATAACAAAGGATCTATTTTTCTTCTAGGGAACCAGCGGTCGGGAAACTTGACTGGACTCCAAGTGTACTGGTGGTAAATTAAATTGGATTAATCCCGATTATTTTGATATTTTACGATTATCTAAATCCAAGGGGATTAAGAGCAACTCGGTTTGATGAGTGGCTTTTAATCATACCAAAAAGGACCAACACGGCTTTAGAGGGAAATGCCTCGGCCAAAATAAAGATACCAAAATGTCCACAAAATATTACAAATAATATGCAATAAATGGATCAAATAAATCAAATCGCGTTATTTTTATCGGTGAATGACAGTCTAGAAGGTAAATTCGAAATTGAGGAAATTAATTTTAAACCAAATTGGTATAATTGTGTAAATGCGGAACGACAGGATATTTTGAGCTTTAAAGAGTAATTCTTGACTATATTTGCCAAAATTCTATAATCGCATACACTTCGCTGCGAACTTCTTTGTAGTGGTAAACTTGACTCTGATTGGTCGACTGAATTTTGACTTCAACTTCAGTTGAGAAGAGACTTCATATAAATGAACTTTTTTCTATTTTAAAATTTTCATTCAAATGAGATTTTTTTCTGAAGGTATATTGGCTGGCAAATTGTTTTACATTCGAGTGTCGTTATTTATCGATTATCTTTTTGACTGCAGTCGTAAATTTAGAAATTACAGAGCAAGCACTTTTTAGCTAGCGGCTCTGAAAGTGCGAGAACTAATATTTTATCACGCAAAACACCACAGATTTTTTCTCTTTTCAAAAAATATTTTCAATTAAGCCGAGTTGTTAATTTAAAACACTTGATGAGAGTCAGAAGCTGGCTTATATTTGGTCTATAAATTACGAAACGTGGAGCTGAAACTATAAACAATAATGTTAAACTAAGTACTCGCCACAGTCAAAAACATAATTGCTGTTTTAAAGCTGAAAACCAAAGTTAGCTTCATTGAAAAACTGCCACTGATACGATAAAACATATATACCAATCAATATTATACCATCACAGGTGATCGCCTTAATTGGTTAATTTTGCGCACGGTGAAAAAAGAAAGTAGCCACGAAAGCTGTAATTAAAGGCAATTAGCCGTGATCGTTTCATTCGCTCAATTAATCAAAGTGCCATTTCCAACTGTGAAATGGTGGGAGCCAATCACGTAATCGAGAGATGGTAAAGTCGAACAAAATCAACACGCAATGCGAATCTCGGTTCTACATGACCAAATGAGACGAAAAAATGAGCGTGCACACCGAATTATGGAGCACCTAACTCAAACGCAGTCAATGTTTTTCGGATCATTTTTTTTTACTATTGATCCTATCAACGAAAGCGAGAAAGAAATTCATTTTCGGTTGTTCTGATTTTTTCTTTGGTCTCCGTATTTTCTACGGATACGGTCTAGTTCTATTTACTACTTTTTCCAGTTGTGCAATCCTCTCTCTTGAATTTCGAGCTTCTAATTGTCCTCTCTCTTTCCTGTTTTTGTTCCGAGTTTCGAAGAAAGTGAGAAATTTATATGCTCGGGGTGTTTTTTCAGTCAGAACAATTTTCATAGAAGTGAATTCTATCGGATGATCAAACTTAGGATCTTCGTGTGCCCATCCGAGTTCGCATAACATTATATATTAGACTGACAGAAGTCTGGCTAAACTCCTTGTTTTCCTTGTTTTTGTTCTGACTTCCAAAGATGATTGGGGTGGTTTTTTATTCGGATCAATTTCCAAAAGATTATTTCCTGTAGGGGATCGATCTTTGATTATTAGCATAAAGGGTTTAGCTTTTGTATATTTCATTTAACAAAAATTATTCGAGACCAGTTAAAGGGCAGTCGGAACTTTTCTGGGCATTTGAAATTTTGATTTGAACGAAAAAATGAACACTTTTTTTTCAATAAACGATTGTTTTCTTCACGTTTTGATTATTTCCTCTGCAACTGTTTAAAATATAGGGTTGATGTTTCGACATGTGACAAACTTAACTAATGAAACGCAGCTAGGTTGATCCGAAATTGAGAAATTTTGTTTTAAAGGTGTAAAGTAGAAATTATAACATTACAAGTTTTCAAGGTGTTCTTGCCTTGGAAAATATCCTTGCAAACATCAGAAGACGGACTGTTTGACGCTTTAACTGTTTTTTGACGCCGGACCAAGTAACTTCTTTTCTTTTTTTGTATGCCACTATTTGCAAAAATATTGAATATAGGCTTCTCAAGAAAACAATTTAAGCCCATGAACCAAATTTATGTTTCTTGCGAAGATGTTTCCCCAGCAAGAAAACGTTCGAAACTAGTGGTTCCGATTTTTGTAACGAAAGTAATGGAAAATTTGTGCTCGGGTGGTTTTTTTCTTCAGACAAGTTTCGACTTTCTAACTAGCTATTTATGACGGATTTTTAAATATCATTCAAAAGGTTCTGTTGTCTTGAGCTTAATTTTGAAAATATATTTCACTTGTGATCTAGTTTTTTTGTGAAATTTTGGGGGTTTACAGATTTCCAATTTGATCAATTTGGGACAAAAATGCGCGATATATTTCGCGCTATTAACGCGTAAGCGGAGATTTAATCCGCCCTAGAAATCGATTCAAATTGGTTGAAGAAACCTTATTTGCCAAGAGTTATTTTTCACTAGGAGCAAAATCTATCACATTGTACTTTATATGACATGTAAACGGATGATTTTCACAAAAAAAATCAAAATTTTGGAAAAAAATAATTTTTTCATTTCATTTCTTTTCTGAAATTAATTTTTTCATGGAGACTTTTGCATTAAATCTGGAGACTGGTAACATATGCAAATTGTATAGCTCGACTTTGATCAATAAAAATTGAATGAATTAGGCAATGAAAACTATTGGTACCTTGGGCACTCTATGATTCATGTTTTCCCTTTCGTTTTAAGTGTTTGCCAATTTTACAAAAAGCTTTCGAAAATGCTACAGCCGTTTTTGGGCAACTCATTTAAATGCTTTTTAAAGCAAAAATAACTAGAGATTTTGAATTAAACGCGTTAGCAAAATAAAAAAAAACAACTTCAGACAAGTCTTTTTTAATAACATTGAAAACCAGATTTTCCAATAACAAAATCACAGCGTCGAGGAAAGATATGTTTTTTTTGAAAAACTAATTGCAAACCATATTAACACATTTTTTCTCTTCATATTCATTTAATTCTCTGAATAAATTTTTTAGATAAAGTTTAGCAAAATTTGCGGTCGAAAACACTGAAGGCAAACACTAGTTTATCACTAGCCTATTGTTCCTTTTTGTATAAGTCGTTGTAATATACGCTTTCCTAGCTCTTGCGGAAAATATTAGACCTGATGCATTCAACTAATACAGTTTATAGGTCTATACTTGTTGCAGAGTTTGAACACCTAATGCTCTGTGATGGTACGGTCATAGGACCATTAGTTTTTTTTGGAGTCTATCAGTTGACAGAAATAGTGCTTTCCGGGTAATTGGCCTGAATTCGTAATTTTTTTAACATGGAAAACATCTAACCCCGACCACTGAAAAAATGCGGCTTTGTAATTGACAAATTCTGTGAAAGCTCGATTTAACGCATTTGCGCTATCATATTGAATAGTTCATTGCTCGCCTAAATGAGAATGTAAAGAACCTGTTTTTGAGTGATAAACGCCTTTTGTCTTTTTTGAAGTAAAAAAATTCCATTGTGCTTGATTATTGATAACTTTCTGAAAAATTTTTTTGCTATAGCCCTTCTCAGCGTTGTTCAAAGGTCCATTAAGGAGGTTTCGTTCTTTGTAATTAACTAATTCATTCAGATCTGTTCATTTTTTTCCCCAAAAATGGATGTTTTTCAAAGATCATCTGCTTTACATATTTTTTTAACCACATTTTTTTTTTCAATGTTCTTCGATCGAATTATTTTTACCAATTACAGATACGTTTGTATAATTATTTTTGAGGAAAACAATTTAATTGATGAACATGCTTTGTGCCTCTGTTGTTCGGACATGAAGCAGTGATCAATGAGCAAGACGGATGTATCAAATTTGTTGGGAGTCTCACAATTGACAAGTTTCGTTCCAATATTTTCCTCAAAAACGTTCAACTTAGTTAAGTCTTGGTTTCGAAAATTATGCATTTTATTTACTGAAAAGCAAAACTGCAACTGATGTTTCATGTGCCGACATATAATGTTTTCTTGTTTCTGATGTTAATTCGCGATGTTTGTTCTGATGTTTGTTCCGAGTTTCGAAGAAAGTGAGAAATTTATATGCTCGGGGTGTTTTTTCAGTCAGAACAATTTTCATGGAAGTGAACTCTATCGTATGATCAAACTTAGGATCTTCGTGTGCCCATCCGAGTTCGCAGAACATTATATATTAGACTGACAGAAGTCTGGCTAAACTCCTTGTTTTCCTTGTTTTTGTTCTGACTTCCAAAGATGATTGGGGTGGTTTTTTATTCGGATCAATTTCCAAAAGATTATTTCCTGTAGGAGATCGATCTCTGATTATTAGCATAAAGGGTTTAGCTTTTGTATATTTCATTTAACAAAAATTATTCGAGACCAGTTAAAGGGCAGTCGGAACTTTTCTGGGCATTTGAAATTTTGATTTGAACGAAAAAATGAACAACTTTTTTTTCAATAAACGATTGTTTTCTTCACGTTTTGATTGATTCCTCTGCAACTGTTTAAAATATAGGGTTGATGTTTCGACATGTGACAAACTTAACTAATGAAACGCAGCTAGGTTGATCCGAAATTGAGAAATTTTGTTTTAAAGGTGTAAAGTAGAAATTATAACATTACAAGTTTTCAAGGTGTTCTTGCCTTGGAAAATATCCTTGCAAACATCAGAAGACGGACTGTTTGACGCTTTAATTGTTTTTTGACGCCGGACCAAGTAACTTCTTTCCTTTTTTGTATGCCACTTTTTGCAAAAATTTTGAATATAGGCTTCTCAAGAAAACAATTTAAGCCCATGAACCAAATTTATGTTTCTTGCGAAGATGTTTCCCCAGCAAGAAAACGTTCGAAACTAGTGGTTCCAATTTTCGTAACGAAAGTAATGGAAAGTTTGTGCTCGGGTGGTTTTTTTCTTCAGACAAGTTTCGACTTTCTAACTAGCTATTTATGACGGATTTTTTAATATCATTCAAAAGGTTCTGTTGTCTTGAGCTTAAATTTGAAAATATATTTCACTTGTGATCTATTTTTTTGTGAAATTTTGGGGGTTTAAAGATTTCCAATTTGATCAATTTGGGACAAAAACGCGCGATATATTTCGCGCTATTAACGCGTAAGCGGAGATTTAATCCGTCCTAGAAATCGATTCAAATTGGTTGAAGAAACCTTATTTGCCAAGAGTTATTTTTTACTAGGAGCAAAATCTATCACTTTGTACTTTATATGACATGTAAACGGATGATTTTTACCAAAAAAAAATCATAATTTTGGGGAAAAAAAATTTTTTCATTTCATTTTTTTTCTGAAATTAATTTTTTCATGGAGACTTTTGCATTAAATCTGGAGACTGGTAACATATGCAAATTGTATAGCTCGACTTTGATCAATAAAAATTGAATGAATTAGGCAATGAAAACTATTGGTACCTTAGGCACTCTATGATTCATGTTTTCACTTTCGTTTTAAGTGTTTGCCAATTTTACAAAAAGCTTTCGAAAATGCTACAGCCGTTTTTGGGCA